ATAAATAGTAAGTAAATAAATAAATAAAGCAGCGCCCTAAGCCGCCACCATCCCTGGGGTAAATATGCAAAGTCCACATACCCCTTCTTGCCTGGAAAGAGGAAGAAGTTGGCACCTGCCAGGCCCCTGTTCTTCCCTCAGAGTACTCCTTACAGGTTGACCTATCCATCCGTCTTCCCAGCTGGACTGTCAGCCCCCAGAGGGTGGGGCCCAGTCTGTCTGATTCTCTCCTGAAGCCCAGAGGCTAGCATAACGCCTGGACTGATGCAGGGACTCTGGATGTTTGCTCTCCACGCTGGGCTGGGGCAGACTGCCTCAGCTCTGAGCAGATGCCACCCAGCCACAGACTTGCGAGCTGAGAGAGGATCCAGCGGGGAGGACAGGTGGTGTTGGGTGACGCCCCCACTGCCTGCACACCAGGCCCTCCAAGATGCCCACCAGGCCATCCCGTCGTATTCATGGCTGTGTTCCTTCTAGTGTTTAGTGCAGTGCCTGCTCGGTAAATAGGTGATGCTATTTATTATTGTATTGGCAAGAAATTGAAGGTGATTCATTCTTCCCCTCACCCCAGTCTCCTGCTTTTGCTTATGTTGTTCCTTATGCCTAGGATGCCCGTCTGTGGCCCTTCTGCCTGAGAGTGCCTACATAGCCCTCAGGGCTCAACCCATACCTGACCTCACTCCTGAGAGAGTTAGTCACAGCCCCACCCCAGCCCCGCTGTCACTAAGTGTTCCCACCCCGCCAGCAGCATTTCTCTTAGTGTGTCCTAGAGATCATGCCAGCAACCCTCTGGGGTGATCAGTAAAAATGCTCATTCCTGGGCCTCAGCTCTGACCCGCTGAGTCAGAATCTCAGACCAGGAGAACCTGGAAATCCGAATTTTAAAGGAGTAGGTCAGGTCATTCTTTTGCCCACTAGGTTTCAGATCCCCTCGTGGAAACAGTCTTTGCTTCCATGTCCTTCACCACTGGTTTCAAAAGCCTTCGGCGGAACCTGGTCAGAAATCTTGGGAGAGGTGCAGGGCCGCAGGGCAGGGCGGAGGGCAAGGAGGCAGGGCATCAGTGGGAGGTGCAGGACATGGGGTACAGAGTGGGTCCAGGCAGGAAGGACAGCCTCGCATGAGAGGACAAAGGTATGGGCGGCCCGGCCCGGTGGGAGGCTTCTGGGCCTGAACACGGGTTCACGAGGCAGAGGAAAGAGCATGGGCTGCGGGCTGGCGGAAGAACGGTGTTACGATGAGCTGTGTAACCCGGGGCAGGTCACAACTCTTAGTGTCAGTTTTAGTTTCTTCCTCTCTGAAATAATGGGATGGGATTCCTCAGGACCAAGTTCTACCAAAGATTTTAAAAATCGGTTTATATCTTGCACTAGGAAGTAATAGGTCGTGGGCATTTGCAGGCTTTTAAGCCTATTTTGGATCTCCACTTGCCAGAGGGTCACAAACACCAGATTAGCCCCCATGTAGTGGCCACGAGAGCGGCTTTATGGCCAGACCACCATGGTTCAGTCACGATCCCACCCACCACTTCTAAGCCGTGTGGCCTTCAGTGAGACTTGTCCTTCTCGGGATCAGTTTCCTCTTTTGGAAAGCAGGGGTAGTGACAGTAGCCGCCTCATAAAGCCGTGTCCAGCTCAGAGAGAACACCCACCAAAGACTGGCTGCCCCTGTAGTGTGCCAGGTACGGTGCTAAGTGCTTTTTGTAAAATGGTCATATTTCACCGTCCCAGTAAGGTGGCCTTTTATAGAGTGTGAAACTGAGGCTTAGAGAGTAAGTGACTTAACTTAAATCCAAGTGAGACCCAAACACAAGAGTCTGACGTGGTCTCACGCCCTTAGTCACCTCTGCACGATGCCCACAGACGCAGGGACTGGGGACAATGTGAGGCTAAAGTAGATGATAGCTCAGAAGCCTCCCAGCCCTGGATTCCCCACCTCAAAGGGCAATTTTAAAAGGAAGGGGTAGGGTATACAAAACAGGCTGCAGCCACCAGGTGTCCCTGTAAAGAGAAGCTCAAACACACAGCCCGATAGTTAACTGGCAGGGCCCTCAGTGCCCTGGGCTCCATGCCCACAGGCCCAGCTTCTGGGACCCAGGATACCTGGCCCTGGCCACTCAAGTGAGACTTCTGGGGTCTCGCTGACCCCCAACTCAGACTTAAAAGGCTATTTCAGGTGTGAAAACTACGATGGAGATTGTCAAAGAGAATCAAGGAGACTGAGCAAATTTTAAGCACGGGTCACACAAACCGGACACTTACTTGAAATTGATTCTGCTGGTTCCCTGATTCTCAGTTTCCCCACGTGTAAAATGAAGACGATAGCAGTTCCTGAAGCATAAAGGTATAGGAGGATTTACTGAGAGAAAGCACGGCGCCTGCACATCCTAAACACTGAATAAACTAGGTTTTCTTCCTGCATTTCCTCTCTCCTCCTCCTCGAGTGAGCCTCTTCTCAAAGGTAGGCCATGAGGTTGACCTGCAGGTTTCAAAAAAGTCATGAGCCAAATACTCGAGAGCCTAATGTGTGTAAGGCACTGGGACACATCAGGAACACAAGGTCACAGCTTTACCCTCAAACACCGTCTCTGACAGTCACAATATACATTCACATATTAAAGGCTCTGAGAGGTCCCGTGGTACATATACCTGTTTCAGTTTCTTTAACTCAGTATTTCCTGAATTTGTTGGGTCGTAGAGACCTTTTGAGGTTTGTTTTTGAGGATTCCTGGGGATTTTCAGTGGCGCTATTCACCAGCATTTCTAGTGCTCCTCTTTTGGGGCAAAAGGCACGAGTTGCATTTCCCTGTCATCCACGCGACTTGCTTTGGTCACAAAGTTGTCAGCTGAAGGGATAAAGGTCACTTCTGGATGAAAACCTTTAAGTACCAAATTCCTTTCCTCCAACAAAGTGGTAACTGCCCCTCCGGATGGTGGGATGTCTTCAGGCTGGGTCAGTCAAGAATGACATATGAGAAATAAACCCTTTGGCAGTTTTCATTAAACGCAGCCTATCTTAACTGATCAAATCGCCTAATGACATCTGCTATCATTCCAGAAAACTTGGTTTATGAAGTGCTGACCTGGTCCCATTGGAAGTAGAAATGCAGTTTCGTGATTGGACTGGTTCCCTTAAGAAAATCAAACCCACGTCTCAGAGGCAGTGACGGAGGCTGGGTCGTCTCACAGAAGTCACCCTCCCTGAGTTCCTGGCTTGGGTGACTTGAAGTTGATAGATACAGAGCAGCTGAGCTCTGTAGTGGCCAGGTTATGACAGGGAGCCACCAAGGGATGGCCAGGTGGAGCAGGCCAGTGGGTAAGTGGGCATGTGGGCCCCACCCTCACCTGAGCCAGAAACTGGGGTGCGTGGGGGGGAGTCTTTGCTCACTCTGAGGACCACCCTCTTCCCCCACTGCCCCAAGGAGCAGCTGCGCACACTCAGCAAAGCAGGCACAACCCGAGCCTGGGGACGAGCCCGACGCCCAAGGTTGAGAAGAAACCTGTATGGGGTCTCGGAGGAAGGAGAAGGATTCTAGAAGCAGGGTCTGGTTCAGTGCCCAGGAAGGAGCACATAGAGGCCACCATTGCCTGGCGGAGCCGTCTGGCGGAGCGAGATCGCAAACCTCAAGCGTGGGGCGTGTCTTAAAGGAGCTCAGCTGTGAGGGAAGAGCAGGGCACCGTGGCTCCTTAGAAAGAATGCTGAGTCGAGGGAAAGCAATTTTAAAATCACGTTTATTAAGAGTTATTTTCTGAAGTAATGTACATTCGCATAGAAAGTCGAGAAACACATAAGCACAACAAAACGTAATGACAAATTATGGCATCATAATAACCGCTGTCAGTACTTAGGTATACGTCTTTTTTCTTTTTTCTTTTTTTTATCCTTTTAGGCGAGGCCACCCTTGGTTGATCTCACAAGAACCTTGTCAGCTTACAATCCCTTATTTTTTACTTTTTTTAAATTTTTTACTCCTACAGCACCTGGTCTTCCTAGGTGGTCTCCCATCCAAGTACCAACCAGGCCTGACCCTGCTTAGCTTCCGAGATCAGACAGGATCGGGCTTGTTCAGGGTGACACGGCCGTAGACTGGATTTTTTTTTTAAGGCGTGTTCTCTTAACATCTCACTGATTCACATAATACATAATTCAATAGATAAAAATTCACTTATATTTTATACAGAACTATCAAATAATTATGCTAGAGCAAAAAGATGTTCAAAAAGGTAAATAAGTTCCTGCCTTTTAATGTCCCCGACGGGTGATGCCCTTCTTAGAGGAGGATGGCGCCCTCTCCCGCCGCGTGCTGACTGCTTCCTGTTCAGGGAGCCCAATCCTGCTCGTCTCTCCCCCCAGCCCCCAAGACTGCACAGAGGGCAGCCCGGCTCCCGCCCCAAACCCCAGGTCCTCCTGTTCAAACACCAGCCATTCCAGGAACCTGCCCCTGGGACGCCTGGGGGCTACAGGACACAGACAGCGACGGGCCCTTCACATGGTGGTCATCACACGGCGGTCATCACACTGTGGTCATGTCCCAGCCGGCTGAGCCGACTCACGCGGGTGCTTCCATACTAGATTTCTTTCATCACTGGACCCCCAAGAATACCAAAAATAGCTTCCTAGCTTTATTGTAAGAACAAATCGATTGCCTTTGGTTTCAATAAACAGTAAATTCAGTACAGAGGCCAGATTCCAGACGTCACAGACACAGGGCAGTCAGTGGCAGCATGGAGGGAGCCACACAAAAATGGGAAAGGTCTGACACCTCACAAAGAAGGTGCTAGACTTGCTCGTCCCCATTTTAAAAAGTGAGGGAGGAGGGACCTGTCCTGCCCCCAGCAGAGACCACCGCCCTGGAAAGGCAGGCTGGACTGGAGGGCGGATCGCTGGGCAGCCTCAGTTCTGGCGGGCATCCAGGTCCACGCGGAGTGGGGCGGCCTGAGGTATCCGTCACGCTCTGGTTTGGAAGGGAAGGCTGCTGGCTGCTTGCCAGCATCTGGGAACTGAAACAAACAAAGAATGCTAGCTCAGTGGCTTCCCTCAGTGTCAGCAAGGATAGATACACACCGTCCACCTCCGAGCACACTGGCCACCGCAAGGCGGCCCAGCTCAAAGCCACACTTTCCCCGCCCCTCAGTGCTGGGCTGATGTCGCCGACCCAGGCCTCTAAGCCTGTGGTCCGCTCAGCCACCTAGACACTTCCTTCTGGACATCCACAGATACAGCGGAGCCCATAAATTTCCTCTACACAAAGCAGTTCACCCGCCAGCGCGTCCTGCAGCCACGCCGCCGGCCCAGGCCTCCTGACCAGCCGCCCCACCCCCACAGAATGCGGCCAGCCCCAGGGCTTAGAGCTGGAACCTCTGCTGGCCCCAGAGCCCATGCGCACCTATGAGCCCCACAGGGTCTATCAAGACCATGCCCTCCCATCCTTGCCTGGCCAATGCGGCTGCCGTCTGGATGGTGAGCCTGCTGCCCATAAGGGCCCGAGATCTAGCCTCCTCTATCCATTCCCACTGCAAACTGGGTCCTGCCACTCCCTGCTCTGAACCCTTCCATGTTTGCCAATAGCGGTAACACCTGAGACCCCATCTTCTGAGTGCCCACCATGTGCCCAGTACTGTGCTAGGGGCTCCCCAAAGCCCCACAGAAACCCAGCGAGGAGGTGAGGATCACCCCCATGGAACAGGTAAGAAAGCCAAAGCCCATGATTCCCAGGATGAGATCCAAGCCACGTGACCAGATCTTGCTAGGAATCGGTGTGCAGAATTCACTCAGCAGCAGTGTCTGGGACACGCAATGACGCAGACTGGACTGCGAGGCCCGCCCTGGCAATAAAGGATGAGCTCCTTACCACCAGACAGCCACTCAGCGATGCTTCTAGGATGGCACACGAGGCCTGATCAGATGGAAGAGATGCCCATCCAACCCACACCCCCACAAGCGAGCCATTCACCTGTAAGTGGGGAGCAGATGTCTTATCACTCGAGAGCAAATCTGGGAGGTTATCGACTGCAGCCACTGGATGTCATCAGGAGCATATGGAAGCCACTCCACCAATCTGCAGGAATAAAACCAGAAACACACACACCACGTCAGCACAGAGAGGCCGAAACAAAACCGACTGCAGAAAAGCCAGCTTTCTCACAGTAAGCATCCTGGTAAACGGCCAAGGTCACTTCTAACCCCAATCTGATAAATCCCCAGGAGGCAGGTTTGGGACAAGCCTGCCTAAAAGGAAAGTTAGGCCACTTTTAATTAATACAGGAAAACTCAAAGGACTTACATGGAAATAAAAGGAAAAGGCTTGCGTTTTCCAGGATTCTACTCGTCCGTGGCCAGATGCCTGCTGACCGTGATGCCCAGCGCTTGTGGTCGAGACACCATGCCCTCCACCCAGCCCTACTCCACTTGGCCACATGCCAGCCCGACAGAGGAAGCCGCTGAAGAGGTCTGACCACTGCCCTGCACACATCCAACCCTCCAGACACAAGAAAGACCCCAGGTCTGGGCTCCGATAAGTGCCCGAACCTCGGCACAGGGCCAGGCTGTGTGGGAGCAAGAGGCCGATTCAGCAGGGTGGGGAAGGGCCTGGCAGGGTTCACCAACGGTGGGAGACTGGGGCTGGATTTTGAAAGATGAGTTGGACTTTGAAAGATGGGTTGGACTTTAAAAGATGGGCTGAAGGACATGCTGGATTAGTTCACTAAAAAGCAAGTAAACGCCAAAGTCAATCTGAAGAAAGCCGAGGTAGTGCAAACATCCAGGATTCCGGCATGCACCATGTGTGCCTCACGTCCCTCCCTACCATGAGTAAAATCCCCAAAAGACAGTGCAGCCCCACCGGAAATGACAAGCCCTCAACCGTAAGGAGGAAGGAAGTGGGCTGGCCAGGGGCTTGCCCATGAAGCGCCTTTCAGGGCTGTCCCACATAGACTGAGCTCCATCCTGCTGCCCAAGGACCCCGATCCTCACTCAACCCCATGACAGACACAGCGCCACATAAAGCTCTCACCTCTGGACCGTAATAATCGCATACTCCACAGGCAGCGTACAGGGCAACATCACGTAGGACATCACTTTAACAGGTAAGAAGTTATGAATCTTGCTCATGAATGTGTTGTCTTCCTTAAATGTGTTAATCAATGCTGAAAAATATAATTTGGAGGTGTTTCTCCCACCAGTGTAGAAAGCAAACTATGATCATCCAGGTGGTGCTTGGAACTTCCGTGAAAGACACAAATCTTGGCAGCCAAAGTATCTGAAGCGTTCGCAAATGAGATCAAACTGGGCATGCACCCAGCACAGCCCTTGGACAGCCTACCGGCGCAGGGCTCCCAAATAATGACTCTTTTAAATTAACAACTGTTTTTGGAGTACACAGACTCTCAAACACGCCACCGGCTTCGTGAGCTGTGCCTTGACCCTTCAGCTGGATTCCATCTCCTTCTGCCTAGAGCTCCCCGGCCTTCTATTTCCCCCTCTGTAATGACCTCAGGACAACTCAAATCATGGTAACCCGGGCAGCTGAGAGTTAATGCAAATCCTAGGGCTTTGGGGGCAGGGAATGGCATCCCGTTCACCTTTGAATGTCTCCAAATGCCTGATTGGAAGCTTCATGCACTCATCTGTCCATCTGATATTTGATGGCATGATAAAATATAGCACTGTTCAATGAAGGTCAAAATCATGGGTCTGGGGGGAGAGGAAAGTCAGGAGAGGCTTCTGGACAGGCAGAGAACAGCATTCTGAAAGAACGGGCCTGCCTCCGGGACCCCCGAAATCCAGTGCGCCTGGACCCAAGAGCCGAGAGTGTGTCTGGTAACTCAAACGAGCTCAGCTGGAGTTCATTTTCCTCTGGCCATGTTCCCGTGGGAAAGGAGGCAGAACAAGGCCCCTGGGTTGGGGGAGGCTTTGCCTTGAAGTGGAGCTCCGCCCATTTCTTCCCCCATGGGGTGGCTGCATCACCTTCCTCCCTAACGCACAGGACAGAAGCCCTTTCGGTCCCTCAGTCACAGAGAACATCCTTTCCAACCCCGCCCCTGAGGATTCAACACCTAAAATGAGCCTGGGTGATGTCTTGTCAAGGAGGCGCTCGTCCCAGGGCAGGGGGCCATGATGCAGTTCCAGCAGCTCCTTCCTCTCAGGGCTCACCGACCAGGTGGCCAACCCCGGGGAAGCCCCTAGGTCCGTGGTTTCACAGGGGAGCACGGGGACATCTGGCTCTTGTGAGGATGAACTCAGGCATGGCTGGGGCCTGTTACAGATGCCTGTGGAGGACACAGAAGACAGATCATTAGGCGCCTTTGGGTGGCTACTCATTCACCCACCCACAGGAGACGGAGGCCAGTGGCCCCAGGAGCTGCAGGCCTGGTATCAGCTCAGCATCAGGCAGAGAAGGACAAGGGTGGGCACTCATCATAGGCAGAAGTGTGGGCCCCACAGCCACATGTGGATCTGCGAGGTTGGACTATGCACATTACAGCTCATTTATAATAACCAGCATCATACTGCTGGGGAAGCCTGCGTCCTGGGCCCTGAGTTAGAAACCTCCTATCCGGCCTTGCAGCGGCCACTCAACTGCTACCATTATCATCGTCTCCACTTTTCAGCTGGGGCATCAGAAGCACAGAGAGGTTAAGGGAGTCATCCGAAGCCACAGAGCCAGTCTGTGTCTAGAGCGGGATTTGAACCCAGGTCTGGCAGCGGCGATGACCCTGAAATCAGCGTCCGGAGGGTGCCAGGCGCGGCAGGTGGTCTCAGCGGGTGCCTGCTCTCGCAGAGCCAGCACACTGGGCAGGTGCAAGGGACAGCTAGCGTCAGAGGCCACAGCTGCTTCCGCTCGCCTCTTGTTTCCAACAGGGGTCTTGCTCCCGGATGCCTGCGCTGTGCTCCCCGAGCTGTGCCTCCCGTTTATGCTTCTCTCTAGACACACCGCTTTCCTTCACTTAGGTAGTTTCGAAGAATCTGTTCCCGGTGGACGACACCTGTCCCATCCCCGCGGGTCCTCTGCGAACGCTGGGGCGGAGACCAGCCTGGCCGAGGACCACACTTAGGTGTTGAATCCCAAACACAGGCCTGATGCTGCGATGCTCCGCCACAGGCCCGTCTTTAGAATTACTAAGAATGGCCCGGACATCATTCACTCTGAACTCCCCGCCTACAGATGTGGAAACGGGAGGCGGCTTGCCCAAAGGCGGCAAGGAAGCTGAGTGCACCCCCGCAGGGGTCCATCGCCATCATTCATCCCCGGATCGCCCCAAATTTCATCCCCAGTCCGGACTGTTCTCCAGAACTTCGGACCCTGACATCAGATGCCTCCTATGCGATCACCCGAAAATGCCTCCCCCGGGAGTGGGGGGGCACCGCACACCATGTCCCGCACAGTGTGTCACCCGCCAGCTTTCCTGCGAACCTCACCCTCCTGAGTGCCCTGAATCTGAAGCCAAAAGCCGCTCCTTCGTCCTCAAGTCGTCCTCTACCCAAATCTCTCGTCCATCGCCTCGGGGCCTTGTCCCCTCGGGCCCTGCCCACCGCCCTCCCTGCTTCGCCCCAGCAGAGCCTCTAGCGGCGTCACTGGCCTCTTGGATCCTGGTCTCACCCTACCTGCACTGCAGCCCGAGGGCCCCACAAAGCCCCGCTCCGGGCTTCCCTGCCCCTGCACAGCGGCCCTCATGGCGCCCTACTGCTGCACCATGCAAACCCTCACCAGGCCCACGAGGCCGGCCTGTCCTCCTCCTCTGTCCATCTCTCAGTCCCCCGCCCTTGTTCACCCCCAAAAGGACCCCGTGGATTCCTGTGCCTCGCACATCCCTCCGCCATCGCCCTTCCCGTTACTGTGCTTCGCTCCCAACCGCCAGGTGGGGAGAGCCCGGAATGCCACGCCTTCTGCTGCCAGCTGTCCCTAGCACACAGCCCATTGCGTGGCACCTGAAAGGTACACAATTAATATTGTCTGAGTGATTGATATGTGTACGTCCTCTTAACCACCCAGACTCCAGGGTCTCGGTCAAAGGAGTGGGAACCAACATACGAACCAACTTTTAGTATCCAAAAACCCAGCTCCAAACACGTCTACCATTTAGTTCCACTTTAATATCCCTGGAACCCAACTCTGCATCCCAGATAACTGGAAGGCAGGACTTTGTCCCAGAAAGGACAGCCAGTCCAGGAGGCTGGCTGGAGACAACTATTCTGATTGAAACTTAAGGTTCACGAATCATTCAAGCAGAAGGAAAAACAGAGCTGCCTCCAGACAGGTGACACTGTGGAAGCAGAGCGAGCTCTGGAGCCGTGATGTCCCGGGTTCAAATCCCAGCTCCGCCTTTCAGCGAGTGGAGTGCGGTCTGCATGCCCCCGTCTTGCACAATGGGCCAAGACTTCCTAGCTCACAGGGCCAACGAGCGGGCTGAGCACGACGGGCAGTGAAGACGGAGCAGGTCGAGTGCCACTGCTCACCCCAACCTCAGGTTCACCAAGGCCCATGAAAGGGGCACATCCACTTCCCCGCCCAAACATACCATTTTCTTCTAAGAACCTGGCTGCATCTAAATACCCTTGAAGGCAGAGCTCTCCAATCTCCTGTAAACAAATCAATTAAGTTAACTGCCATGACAACCATATTTAAACATCATCTGAAGACAGACAAACTAGAGGCTCCTCTAAACAGCCACTTCCATGTGCCCGAGGCTGGACAAAGGACTCTGTGCTCCGGGAGACAGCAGCCCCCTTCTTGCATGGATGACACCCCTCCACGGAGCCGCTGCTGGCACCTCAGCACGACAGGGGGCCTGTGCTAGTCACCCCTGAGACCGTAACAGCGGTCCCCTATACTCGCCGGTGTCCAGCCACACACGCAGACCAGCTGTCATGTGTGGGATGCACACAGCACGGGGCGGCCTTTCTCCCCAGCACACGTTACAGGTTCTCTCACTGGGTTAGGGTGGTGAAGCACACGACGACCGCCACCAAAGAGGATCGAACCACCAAATGCAGTGTGGTTCGTGACCGGCTCCATATAAGAGTCAACTGGGTGACAAAAAAAATGCTTCTGCTCAGGCCGCACCCAGATCAGTCGTCCCCTGGTATTCATGGGGGACTGGTTCCAGGAACCCCCTCAGATACCAAAATCCACAGGAGCTCTAGTCTCTTGTATAAAATGCTGTAGGATTTGCATATAACCTATATTTGCATATAGGCTACGGCCAGGTGTGGCTACACATCCTTCATGTGGATTCCATGTAGGGCTTGGGGAGTGGCTAATTCAAGTTTTCCTTTTTGGAACTTTCTGGGATTTTTTTTTTTTTTTTTAATATTTTTGATTTTGGTTGGTTGAATCTGTGGATGCTTGAAAACCGGGGGACAGGGAGGGCCGACTGTACTTAATTTAAACCACAGCCCTTGGAAGTGGGGCCTGAGCCACTGTGCTCTCTGAAAGCTCCAGGCGGTCCCGGTGACTGAAGTGGGGCAGCACCCACCTGGGACATGGGCCTCTTCTCTGAGCGCCTGTGCAGTGAGGGGTCCGTTTCTATTTGTTTGATTGTTTGTTTGCATGGAGAATAACTGGTGGATCTCCAGGCAAACACGGAGACCAAAAAGAGCTGTACCCCAGAACGCAGCCCCCCACTCACCTTGATGTTCTTGGGGGACAGCAGTCGGCTAAGCAGGCGGATGTTCTCTGAGCAGAGTCGAATACTGAACCTGGAGACTTCTATGTGAAAAAAGTGCGTGGACTTGACCTTAGGGCAGATGTCATATTCTCCATAGAAGGGAGACACAGTTATGGTCGTTTCGGCATCAAAGACGGGCATAGCGTTAGTCAGTCCTCCATCAATGTATCGCTTTTAAGGGATAAAAAAGACACCCTGTCAGAAACTCTGCGGTGGTGTTTTGTGTTTTTCTGATTATGGGCAGAGGCTTCTCAGCGCCACAGGCTGCTCCCGTGGGAGGATGGGGCTTGGGGATCGCTCGACAAATCCTTACTGAGCATTCCTGTGCCAGGCCAGGGGCTAGGCTGGCATTCAGGATTGCTCCACACTGTTGTATAGATTGTGCACTACACAAAAGGTGCCCGGCAAAGAGGCAGACGGAGGCTGGAGTCCGGTCCACACTGTGCTGGCCAAGTCCTGAGCCCAGGTGGGCACCCACAGGTGTGCCCATGTCGTTTGCACTGTGTGCACTGGGGACAGTGTGATGTAAATCCTGCCCCAGAGGAGACAGGAGCTCCTGGGTTCAACTCCAGACGCCCTTGCTACTTGGGAGAACTTGGATAAGATGCTTCTCCTATGACCCCATCTCCCTCCACACCCTAAAAACGAGAGGGGCTTTAGGAAATGTGGGACCTAGACGGCCCTCAGAAAACACCCTCTTAAAACTTGGATAAGATGCTTCTCCTGTGACCCCATCTCCCTCCACACCCTGAAAACGAGAGGGGCTTTAGGAAATAGTGGGACCTAGACGGCCCTCAGAAAACACCCTCTTAACCCACAACGAGTGGCATCTGGGCATGTTTTCCTGCAGTCGCACCCCTCAACCACCTGAGGCTGGGCAGGCTTGTTTTGGTACGACGTGGATAGTCTGCACGTCTCAAACCAATGCCAGTAACACTCGCCCAGTTGTGACGGCCTAAACTGTCTCCAGACACTGCCAGATGTCCTGGGGTAGGGGGACCAAATCATCTCCGGTCGATAGCTGCTGCGCTAGAAAGAGGCTGCCAAACAGCCCAGGCTAGTCCCACATCTAATCCAGAGCCTACAGGACAAACACTCCAACTGCTGTGTCTCTGCTGCAGCGGGGCTCAGAATTAGCCATGCGTGTCACCAGACGTGTCGAATGGAACCAACGATTGCCCTGTCAGAAGGTTCTGACCTAATCTGTGGGCTGAAAAGGTCAGCCCCAGAGAGGACTGACATTCTCCACGCCCGAGAATAAAGCTCTGTCTTAAGCGAGTAACCAGTTCTTAACACATCTTATACTTTAACTGGGCCACTGGGCACCTATCTTCGGTGCTCATGTGAAGGTTAAGTGAACCGGCTTACCTTACAGATAGCCAGATAACTGATTCCAGGTGAGTTTGTTCTGCTGCCCAGGCAGCTTGGGAGGCCGGGGGTGGGTGGGGGCTATGGAATCTCTCTCTGAAGGCTGAGAGACACAAGGCTCTGCCTCTGGGGTCCTAGGATGCCTGAGCCTAGCGCCTTGCAGGCAGGAAACATGCAGACAGGATTTAAAAACAGACTCACCACGCCTCTGAAGGAAGGAGGGATTAAGCCAGACAAGATGGGGAGGAAGCAGGAACAAACCAAGGCCTGCGAAGACAAAAGGAAGTGAAACCAAAGGCCAAAACGGTCTGCCCTTTATCCCCCTGGGCCTTCACAAGCCTCCTCCAAGTGAGAAAAGCCACGAGCCTGAAAAACAGTCTTTGGACAGAGTAGGTGCTTTAACGATGAACCAACCTACACACTTACATTTCAGGCCTAAGTATAAGAGCCTTAACGACACTATCTGTGGATATCAACTTGCTGTCCCTGCTTCCCACGAGAGTTACACCGGGCCATCGAAGACAGGACCAAGAGTTGCTGGCTCACTGACTGACAGAAGGGACTAGATGAGAGCCTGACAAATGCTGATATTTGTGAGCAGGTGGGAGGTGGAGCCTGAGAGGGCATGTCTAACAGGCTTCCAGGTGATGCTGACGCTCTCGATCTGGGGCCCACACCTGGAGTGACCGCGTGCTAGGGAGCATCAAGCAGGACGCGACACCAACTCACTGGGAGAACAGGCTCACGTGGGAATGGGCGGGAGCTGGCTGTCTAGAAAACACTTCCAGAAACAAAGTTAAGTGTAAATGATACCAGCTGCCAAGATGCTGCTGGCTGTATGTGCCAGGCCGCTCTCTTGTAGAGACCTGTATTAAGTGAAACGTAGTCCGTTCAACTGTCATAAAAGGCATCAGCCAGATTAAATGGTATTTTGATATTATAAACTATCTCCTCTGTGCTAGGCATCAAGGATAGAGGCACATAAGACATGCTCCCACTTCGTGGGGCTTCACCCAAGGTGTCCTCACTAAGGTACATGCATTGTTGGGACAGGGTCTCCAAAGGAGGTGGTCATGAGCCAAGGCTGGAAGGATGGGAGGGATTATTTGTAACTTTCCTGGAACGTGCAGGGTTTACATATGCTACGGACCAGACCACTGGAGGCACACTGAGTTCATGTCACCGCAATACAGGAAGCAGACAGCAGCATGGTCAACCAGGTTCTCTTGCACCTTAAGAAATGGGGCAGGTGGCCTGTGACAGCCCTCTCTGTGTTACTGCCAAAACGAGACAGCCTTTCTGATCTGACAACATGCAGACCGACGTGCTGCTTACGTCCACGACTTCGTCTTTGGACCGGAACTCTGACACCAGGACGTTTCTCCAGTCGGACACTCTGGTGAGTGAGACGAACATTCTGCCGGAGGTGAGCTGGTGGATGTTGGCCGGGAGGTATCTGTGCATTTGTTCGCGGAGGATCTGGCTTACGTTGAAGGACGGGTGGAAGACGCCAGTGTTGTGGCTCATGGCACACCGGGAAAATGCATTGAATATCTTTAGTGACGTTTCTGCGGGGGTGGACAAAGACACACAGGGATGCGCCAAGCCTGGAGACCGGACGCCAGATGGCAGGGGAGCTGCCAAGTCCTCTCTGGGCCTGTGTCCCCACAGGGCAGCCCTAGAAAGGGGAGCTCGTCCAAACAGAGATGTGTAAAAGACACACAGGATTCCAAAGGCTTAGTAGGTTAAAAAAAAAAAAAGGTAAAACGTCTCCATAATGTTTTACGTTGATTAGATGGTAAAATGATACTATTTTGGCTATATTGGGATAAATAAAATAAATTTCACTTGCATCTTTTACTTTTCTCCATGTGGCTACCAGGAAATGTAAAATGACAAATGTGGCTCACACTATATTTCTATTGGCCAGCACTGCTCTGGGCCTTGGCCTTGAGAACGAGCCTCTGGAGGCCCAAGTGAGCTCTCCTCGCCGCCATCTTCCACAAAGCCAGAAGCCAGGGGCTCCACGGCATCAATGCTGTAGCACGGATGGGCCTGACACGGACAGTGCAGGGACCAGAGATTGCGTGCAGGCTGGACCGTAGCCGGAAGCCTGCCTCCACCTCCTACTAGCTGAATGACCTCAAGTCACCTCACTGCCTAAGTCTCAGATGTGTGTTTTGAAGGTGGGACAGTATTTCCCTGCCTTTCGGAGACAGAGGATTAGATCCACTATAACTTGTAAGGTGTGGACCCAGAGGAGGCGTCTAGTAACTAGACTTAACTTTTAATTTCTACCACCAGAATTATCAGAGCATCTAGTGGGCAAGGGGCACGTTCATGCTCCATCTGACCTCGCTCGCTGGCCTGGCTCCCTCCAGCCAACCAGCACTGCCCTGGCATGCAGGACTGCCCATCCCAGCCCAAGACCTGGCCAGTCCTAATAAGAGAGGAGAGGAGGCATCTGAAAAATGCAAAGGAAAGGGCTTGCAGAAATGACCGACTCAGCCAGTTAAGGTCCATTCTTGAGTGCCCTCTCTCCCCCACCTCAAGGACTCTCCAGCTCACATCTGTTGATTCATGGCTTGCCAACCAACTAACGTTCTTCCTTATCTCTGTAGCTGTGTAGGAATAACAAGGCTGTATAAAACTGCTTGTTAGGTTACAATCGGGGCTCAGCCTTTGGATAGGAATCCGCTGAGCAGGTGCCGGCATTAATAAGTGTTGCTTCCTGCTTAAAGCCTTAGTGTCCCGTCTCCCTGTTCAAGAATCCTATGACAGTGCTGATAATGGCAAGACAGACGACCTGTAAGACCAGTGGTCTGAAAATTCCTCCCCTCTTACAGCCCCTCACTCGAAGCTCCCCCTCCCCATCCTGAGTCATGAGGCACACGTGAAACCTCAGACAAAGGAATCACGTGCTCCTTGCACGGACACTGCAGAGGTGTATAAACAGTAACAAATCTAACCAGAGCGAGCTCGTGCATGAAGTTGTTTATTCCACACACTCCGCCGGCCAATGAATTCTCCTTCCTCTAACAAAGTTGTCTGAATGTCCAATTTCCTCCGTCGGGTGTCGCTTCCTGCAACACTAACTCCTAGGATGCAGAAGGCTTGACACGCCCCAGTCTGTCCCGACCCACCTCTGCCCTCCACTCGGTTCTCTCTGCTGGCGTGGCCCCACTGAGCCCAGCAGAGGGGCCAATGCACCCACAGCTGGCAGGCCTGCCAGGCTCTCCTTCCAAGTCAGCCCCAGCGAAGATGCCCTCTCAGGGGCTCTGCAATAGTCCCAGCACCTCGGAAATGCTCCTTGGTGGTCCCCACGTGAGACAGGAGGTCGAAGCAAGAACCAGGGAGCAGTTCCTGCCCCAAACCCCAGACTCCCTTTCCAGGGACTCGCCGGTTAGGAACCAGCTCCTGCCAGTTAGGAACCTCCTCTACCCTGGAGTCAGCGCCCTTCAGGCCCCGGGGCCGGAGCATTGGAATCTGGTCCCAATTATACATTCGACCATGTGGGTGACTGCAGGTCACCTCTGGGTACGAGAGTTGGGTTTTATCACTGCTAACAGCTCAACATGTACAGACTGGCCATGTAACCAGTAGCAGCACCCTCGCCGAGGTCACATTTCCTGCCCTTTGCTGAAGAGGGATTTTTCACTCAAATGGCTAATCTTATATCAGCTCTTTATTCTGCTTCGGTAGATGTGCTGGCCGCATCGGCTGAAGGGCAGTGTGACCTCGAAATTAACTAAAGACTCGTCCTCCCTTTTGCTTGTTCTATCTACGTAACAGATGTATTGCCTGCGTTCTCCTCTGAAAATCACACGCTTTGTGACTCTTTGTAATTGCCTGTAATCCATAGCAACTCCCGCACCTTGTAACTTTGTAACTACCTAAGGACAACTCATGCCAACTGGCCAAATGTAACTGCACAGGTAAGCCCTATAAAAGCTGTGGGCCCAGATCTTCAGAGCACTGGCTCTTCTGGTACCTCCGGGGTAATAAAGACGAGTTCTCCAACTCTCCTGAGTGGTGCTTGGTTTCTCGCTGGTCTGATTTTGCAACATTTCTGCAACATGGCTTCTGTCCCCCTGGATGGAGAGGGCAGTCAGAGTGGCCTCTCCAATCCTCACCTCCCAGTCAGCCCAGGATCTGCCCACCTATCTGATCCAATGGCCGGCCACGGATTCCTGGTCACTAGCAGCAGTCGCTACCTCCCTGCTGGCCGTGTCCAACACAGCAGTCTCGGGTAGAGCAGAGATAAATCAGTAAGAAATCCCAGAGAAACGGGGTTGATAAGGTGCATTATCTTCCCTTCTGGGGACCTTCCGGTGCCAACAGCTCCACACTGCCCCCTGCCTCAGAACCTCAGGCCAAAGATCCTGCACCCCAGTAGTTTCGGCCAGCTGGACATGTTCCCTACATCCTCCCCTCCCACCAGCACCCACATGGACAGAGGTTGGTTAGGACAAGACTCAAATGGGCAGGATCTCATTTCCAGTGGCACTGTGGGGTGTGGAGGGGTGAGGTTGAGATGAGGGGTGTCCAGGGATCTATTCTAGCCCCCAGGAAGGGTCTGAAACACCAGAAAAAGAGAACTTCCGTACAGCCCCCCTGCCCCCGACACACACACACACACACACACACACACACACATCTCTGCAACCTCTCGACTCCAAACCAGCAAGTCTGCCCAGCACACACACACACACACACGCATCTCTGCAACCTCTCGACTCCAAACCAGCAAATCTGCCCAGGACTCTGAAGAGATGCCCTCTGCGGAACACCGCATCTGACTCCACCCCCCTGAGGGCCAGGCGGCACCGAGGGCGCCGGTGCGTGGGGAGGTGATGGTGTCTGCAGTCCCTCAAGTCCCCAGCTGGAAGAAGGCGCCCACCCTGGGACACAGGCCAAAGCCCTGCTCCCGGCCTGACCCCGCGCAAATCAGCCCTTCCCTTTGGCAGCTCAACTCGCTCAGCGCGCCTTCTAAGCAGATGGCAGAAACCACAGGGACCAGCTCCGCCCTCCGCCTCCTGGGTCGCGCTCCCTCCTCCCTGGATGACCCGCCTCTCGGTCCCGGGGCAGGGGGGCTTCCTTCGAGCCTGGGCGCCAGAAGAGCGTTAGGGTGGTGGGCCGACCCCCAGGGGCGCTGCCCTCGCGGCCGGGCGACAGGACACAGAGAGGAGGAGGCATCTGCCTGCAGAGGCCGCCGAGATGTCCCCCGCGGTGTCTGTGTCCAAATTCGGTCCCACCGGACGCCCCGCGACCCTTAGGGGACGCCCGCACACGGGTCTGCCACCACCTACTCCCGCTCCCAGCAAGTACATACTCTCCGGGAGCCCGCCCAGCAATGAAGCGGCTTGCAACGAACTGGCCGAGCCGCCGAAGACCCGGCGCGCGTTGCTGAAGAGGTGCGGGGCGCGCTCGTTTATGCAGTGTTGCACCCCTACGAAGTAGATGGACAGGAAGCCGCAGGCCGTGAAGGACAGGTCCCAGCCGCGCTCTGGGTCGTACATGGCGGCGGCTGGTCGCGAGTGCGGGGTCTGAGGTCCGCGATCCGAGGTCCGCGATCTGCTCAGCGCAGTCTCCTTGCGGCTACCTGGGCGGTCCCCGCGTGACGTCAGCCCGGCCGGCCCCGCCCCCTCGGACCATATGGAGGAGCGCGCGGGCGAACCCCTTAGTGGAGCAGGGCCCGAGGGCCCTGGGGCCAGAGGCGGAGGAGGACCGGGGAGGACCTGCCCGAGGGTGGGAAGCGTTGTCCTTAACTCCAAATGACACGAGTGTGCCGGGGAGACACAGCATGCTTCTCCGTTCCTTTTCACCCTGTAAGTCAGAGAAAGTGGCAGTTGCCCACTTAGGTCTTTAATATGCATGGGACACTTAAGCGTTTCCATTTTTACACAGAGGAGACAACAAGCTTTAAGCAAGCACCGGGATCTAACTAGAATATAATGTCTTTGCTTTGATTTCCTGTAGTTTTGTGCATGATGTCTTCAATTTAGAGCAAGCGGTAGAGATTTGCATTTAATGATAGCGACAGGAGGTTTCCATTGTGAACAACAGGTGCAGGGTGTGGGGGCGGGGCAGTGCAGGAAGTGGGTGTTGGGGAGGCTTAGGCCTAGATGATTCCTGGTGCCCTTGGGACGTGCCTAAGATGCCCTTTGACCTATGTGTCCCATGCTGCACAGAACATGTCCACCGCAGCCCTGCAGGGAGGGGAGGCACCTGCCCAGAGTTACACAACCAGCAAGCGCGTCTACTGGGCCATCCTCCTGCCCTGAGTGTTGTAGACGGAGGCGCCCCCAGCAGAGCGCAGAATATGGGCTTGGGAATCAGGCCTCTCTGTGCCTCCATGTCTTCATCTGTGAAATCACCCATGGAGTTGCTGTCAGGATTCAAAATGTCACCTTACAGCACCCGGACACATAGGCTGTCCATGATCTCCCATGACCCGCACAGAGCTTCCTGAGTCTGTGGCACCCCCTGCTTTTGCCAAGCCTGTGCCTGGAGGGGTGCAGGGCAGAGGCTGAGGCCGGGCTACCCAGGGACTGCAGAGCCCTGCCGTGGGGCACTCTGTCGCCTTCCTGTGGGCTATCGTCCCAGGGCCTGGGAGTTGCAAGGCCTAGTACCCACCTGGGCTGACGGCTACACTCATACTTCATAGACTGAGGCGCAGAATGAGGAAGTGTCAGGTCCTTCTGTCCCTGACCACTTCGGCTTTGCCAGGCTGGGTGCGTGGCAGCGCTCACAGATGACCGCCTTCCATGCCCACCTCACACTCAGGTTTGGGGCAGAAATTAGGTTTCTGGATCATAGACCTGAAGCTACTGGCATTGCCAGCTGGGCCCACAATCTCTAGCCTTCTGCTCCTCACCCAGGCCTCCTTCATCCTGCACCCACCAGCCCTCCTGCATCGCATGACAACCCATGGAGTCATGGCAGAGGGCAGGAAGAAGAGGCAGTGCCTGCAGGTCCCAGCCGAGTCAGCACGGCACCAGGCACCCGCGTTCTTACACTCTTCCTGTCCCCTGACACAGCTGCACGGGACATCTGTAACACAGATGGGAGCGAGAAAGGACCAGGGCCGAGGGGTCGCCTCTTCTTCATCATTGCGTGTTGACAACAGGTAGGCTATCCCTCCTTCCCCAGACAGAGAGAAGGAAGGACTCGGCTCTCTCAGCCCCTGGCCGGTGCTCCAGGGGGTGGGCCAGGACTGTGAGTTTTGACATCGAGTGGCTGGCACAGACGTAGCCTTCTCCACTCACTGGAGGCGTCACCTCTCAGAGCTCGGTTTTCTTATCTGTACCTTGGGGGACATGCGGCCATCTGCTCTCAGTCCTCACGTTTCAGACACCTATTACATGGTGTCTTTTCTGCCACCACTTCTATAACTCAGACACCGACTTCTTGTTTTAGCCCTCCTTCCCGTGGTCTACTTGCTAATTTATTTATTTGGCCCCCTTGCGCTTCTTGTTGGTGACTGCACTGTTTAAAATGGCCCCACGTACAATGCTACAGGGCTGCTTAGAAGGCTGCGACGTGCCCTACGGAGAAAAATTAATGTTTTAGGTAAGCTTCATTCAGGCACAAGTTATAGTGATGGTGGTCATAAGCTCAATGTTGTTGCTATTTTCCTAATTACAGTTGATAATCGATATTATTTTATGTTAGTGTCAGGTGTCCAGCACTCGTTAGTTCAATGTTAATGAATCATCAATACATATCAAATAAGGTGTCTTTAAACAGAAAACGTACACAAGTTTATGTATTGATTGGTCGACCATACTGACGGGACCAAGAAGCTCTCAGGAACCTACACCTGGATTTCAGAGTTCATTAATGACTCTGTGGCACGGAGCGACGGTGACTAATGAGAACTGACTGTGCATCATCCTGAACTTCACAGAGGGAAGCAGGCAGATGCCCTGAACTCTAGAGTTTGTTTCCTTCCCATGTAGACCTAGAAATACAGAGTCGCCTGAAGTCTACCTGGCCTGGCTAAGCCCACTGGCAGGGCCCACTCACCTCCTCCCCGCAGTGCTGGGCAAAACGAAGGCATCCTTCACCCAGTTACCAAATCCCGCACCTGTGGGAGGCCTTGGTACCCCCGTCAACCTGCCAGGTGTCTTGACTCTTGCATCGTCTTCCTTCAGTGCCTCAGGCTCGCTTCTGACCCTTCCACACTGTACACCTTGCCCATCTTGCCCACACCCCAGTGACGGCCTCAGGCAGGCCACTCGGAGCAGCCAGTGTCGGCCTCGCTTCCCCTCTTCTGTCCCCATCCTTACCCAGCTTCTCGGCTCTGGCTGTAATTCACTCTTTTTTGAAATTAAATTAAATTAAATTAAATTTTTTTTGGTGATAAAATATACAGAACATAAATTTTTCTTTAAAAAAATGTTTACCTTTTCAATTACAGTTGACATTCAATATTATATTAGTTTCAGGTGTAAGCATAGTGGTCAGGTATTTATATGACTTACAAAGAAATCCCCCCGATTAGTCTAGTACCGAGCTGACACCATACCTAGTTATCCCAATATTACTGGCTATATTCCCCATGCTGTACTTTACATCCCGTGACCATTTCGTAACTGTCAATTTGGATTTCTTAATCCCTTTACCCTGTTCGCCTAGACGCTCATTCTCCCTCCCGTCTAACAACCGTCGACGTGTTCTCTGATTCTATGAGTTCGTTTCTGTTTTGTTTGTTCGTCTACTTTGTCGTTTTAGATTCCACATGTCAGTGACGTCACATGGTATTTGCGTTTCCCTGTCTGACTTCTATCACCCCGCAGAATACCCTCTAGGTCCATCCATGTCGTTGCAAATGGTAAGTTTTCATTCTTTTTTTTTTTTTATGGCCAAGTAATATTTCATTGTAGATACGTGTCACATCTCCTCAATCCAATCGTCTATTGATGGACACGTGGGGTGCTTCCATATCTTAGCTATGCGACTGGCTTATTTCACTGGGCATAACGTCCTCAAGGTTCACCCATATCTCGGCATGTGTCAGAAACCTCTTTCCTCTTTAAGGCTGAATCAGTCCATCGTATGTGTTGTTGGGGCTCAGGACACACTATCCCAAAAGAGGGCACCTTGGCACGTTGGATATTTTAAACTAAAGGATTTGAGAAATGGCAGGACTGTCTGACCTTCCCGTAAAGCAGGTCGTCAGACCCTGATGTGGGAGGTGCCCTCTCTATCGCCTGAGGCTCCCGCATCAGGTCAAACTTATATGAAATAAATTTCTGTGTTTTTCTCGTAAATTCGTCTTTTGTGACAGGGGTCCCGGTGAAGAACTTGACAGTAAAAAGCAAAGGTATTTCTCCTTGCCTTCAGCATGTTCCACATGTTTGTCTTAGATAGATTTCTCCAGAAGCAGACCCAAAGACCAGGAAGTGGGTGCCAGGTGACCCCGAGAAGCATTAGAAGGGGAGGGCGGGGAGTGAGAAAGGAAGAGGTGTCTCCGTGGGCAGGTGGCAACAGTGGGTAAGTGGGGCTCAGTCCGGCTGGGGTTCTCGAGGAGAAACAACACGCCGTGGGGGTGGGGGAGGGAACTGGGGTGTTTATTCTCCAACTCTCATCGGCCATTGGGCGCCCTGGGAGCCGCCCACCCAGCACCGTGGAGTGGTCTGTGTGGAGCGGGCTAGGCCGAGAGTGACAAGAGCTTACAGGAGGAAGTCATCCTTACGCAGAGAAGGCCACGGGGAAGTGGACGGGGCACTGACAGTGGGTGCCAGGCATCTCTACCCCCAAGGAGCCCGTAGTCCGGAGGGAGGGGACAGGAGCCAGACACTTCTAAAGGAGATGGCTTCACAGGGGCCGTGGTCAGTGCTGTGTTTGGGGGAGAAGCACAGGGGCCACAGGGCCCACCAGGCGGGGGACTAACCTGCCGGGCGTCTTGGAAGGCTTCTTGGATTCAATCGAGACGTTCACGAATGTTTATTAACCGCCTCCTTGGCCCCCCGGTCCTGTGCGAGGTAGGTGCTGGGGATACAGCGGTGGGAAGCGGTGAACGCCGCCCAGAAGAGTACCACACAGGCTGTTCATTCAGAGCTGGCTGCAGCGAGGGACTTGCGACCACCTCTGCGTTGGGCGGGGACTCAAAGGCAGACCGAGGACAGGGCGGGGGGAAGGCGTCAGGTGCCGACACACTCTCTCCTTGACCAAGCTTTAGGCAGGGTCCCTCAGCCCCTTGTCCACTAGACCTTGTCCTTGGGAGCGAGAATCCTCTAAGTCAGTTTGTCGAGAACCCCTACCCTGGGTATCTCATCGGATTTCCCCCGCCCCCACCCCAACCCCAAGTGGTGTGTGATCGGCCTGGTGCGCCTTCGGTAAGAGGCACAAGCGAGGGAGAAGCTGACGCATCTCACTGAGCCTCTATTTCTCAATCTGCTAAATCGGATGGTAGCAGGGCTGACTTCATAGGTTTGCTCGGAAGATTACAGAAACTAATCGGGTCAAGTACTATTCCCACTGCCTGGCAGAGGGCCCAGCCCCACACCTCCCACTCATCCTTCAGGTCCCAGCTGCAACTTCACCTCTTTTCCCCCTAAGTCTTCTAAACCTGCAGCTCTTAAAATATGTCTCTGGAA